GCGGGAAGCCAGGTGACACAGGTGACAGCGCCGACCTGGTGGGAGGCGCGAGGGCCTGGCCGTCACCACTGGAGGGGCGGGAAGACCAGGACGAGCACCGGGGCCCCTGGACTGCGCTCCTCATGGGAGGAGGGGGCCATCGGCAGCTCTCAGGAGCAGTTTCACTGAGAAGGAAAGCAAAGCGCAGCTAGAGGAGGCTGTGACTCAAGGAACGCTTTTCTAATTGACGCATCACGTACACACGATAACGGCCAGGTCTGAAGCTGGGCTTCCTTTGTAAAGACAGACACATGAAGGCAAGCGGGGAGGGTGTGAGAGGTTGACAGGAAGTGTGAAGAAGTTGTCCTGCGGGGAGAGAGAACTGCCTTTGGAAGGGAACCTCGCAGGGCCTCCAATTCTGCCCTCAGGGCAGCTCCAGGGGGACAGCTCAGTCCTCCTGCTCCGGTCAGGGGCTCCAGTCTAGGCCTTGACCACAGAATGGGAACGAGGCTGCCCTGGCCTTCACAGCACCCCGTGAGCGCTGCACAGCTGCAGATGGACCATTCATTCATTCATTCATTCATTCACCATGCACAACGCCGGTCTCTGATGAGCCCTGATGCCCGACTCTCCTCGGCCTCCGTTTTTCACACTTGGAAACGCCGCGTCCAGCTGAGGCCATGTTTCCAGCTCTGCCCCTCTCTGGACGCACCCCTGCCCCTAGCGCACAGCTGGGGGTCAGCCCTTGGCCTCCAAAGCTGAGGGATCTATCCGCGTGGGGGAAAATAACCCACAAAGGCAGAAGCCCGACTCCCCTGACCACACCCAGGCGGGGCCGGAGCCGCCAGGATTCCTGGGTCCTGTGCAGCCCTGTTCCCACACGCTCTCAGCCCTGGGGGAGGCGGCTTGTTTGCGTCTCCCCGGTGGGGCCATGTACTGTGAGTGAGCTGTCAAACACCCGTCTCCTCAGCAGTGATTCACTCCCTCACTTCCCAGGCGGGTCTCAGCCCCGAGAGGTCTCCCAGGTGTCCCTAAGTGTCCCCTAACTGTGCACCGAGACCCTCCAACTCACCCCAGGGGACGTGGCCACCCCACCCCCTGCTGCTAAGGAATCACAGGGCTGCCTTCAGCCCCTAATGAAAGGTGGCTTTCAGCAGCACCCCCCACCCCGGGCGCCACTGGCCTCTAACGATGAGGAAACAGAAATGGAGGGGGAGAAGGGGCAAAGGTCAGAGGGACCTCAGCAGGCGCAGTTGCTGAAGCCCCAATAATAAGAAAATGACAATTAAGGGCTCAAAACAGTGCTCACATTGACACTGAATAGAACACAAACTCTTGCTGAATATGGTGAGCAGTAAATCAGGAAGTGAAGGAATGAAGGGAGAAGTGAGGGCGCTGACACAGCTGGGCCCCCAGGTTGCCAGGCTCTGCTGTACTTTACAAACCCCTGTGACCTCGAGCCTCACCTCGGCCCTGTGAGGGAAGATGGTGTCGTCCCCATTTTGCAGACGAGGAAGCTGAGGTGCGGGGTTAACAGCTTTCCCAAGATGGCACAGCGAATAAAAAGGAGGAACCAAGACTCCATCCTAGGACAGCCTCTCCAAGCCGAACACCAGAAAAGCATGTGCTGGGAGGCTGGCCGGACATTAGAGGGAGAACCCCACCTTCTCGGGAGCCCCACAACGGAATAGAGGAAGGAACGGGGGGCCTGGGAGGGCCTCTGACCGAGTGAGACTCCCCGCCCAGGACAGGCCGGAGCTCATGGTGCAGCCCGGGAGAGCAGGTTTGGGGAGACCCAGTGGCCAACACAATTGACCTTCGAGCTCCAGAGCCAGGCCGGGGGTGGAACCTGTAGGTCCTGCCATCCGGGGAGACCCAGCCAGTCTCACCAGCTGATGCCACAGCCCTGGCCGCACCCTTCTTGACAGCCCTGTCCTCCGCCTCCGCCTTCCTCTGGGGACACTTATCTCTGCCTCCTTACAGGGCTGCCATCCTCAGCTGCTCTGGTTAAAGGAGAGGAAGGTGTGAAAGCCGCCCCAGAGCGTGTGTGGAACCGTGTGTGAAACCCTGGGGCTCAGGCGGCAGGGCTTGGCGTGCCAGTCTCGGAGGAGAGAACAGACAAGCGGCCCAGGCCTGGCGCTGGGCGGGGAGGTCCAGCCCTGACTGGCTGTATGACCTTGGGCCAGTCTCCGGCCCCTGAGGGGGACAGGCCTCAGGCTCCCCTTCCACACAATGAGGGGTCACCCTGATGGTCACTGAGGTCCCTTCTAGCTCTGGTGGTCTAGGGAGAGGTGTCGGGGAGACCAGAGGGCAGCGCAGGGAGGCAAGAGGCCTGCTCGAGGCCCAGGCGGGGCAATGATTAACCACTGGCTGCTCCGTGCGGGCCGGCGGCGTTCTCAGATCCACTTCACCCCCCGCAGACAGGCCGGGCCCAGCCTCGCCCGTCACCAGGCCAGGCCAGGGAGGGAAGGACAAGGCTGCTGACCAGGGCGCCCAGCCAGCCAGCTCGCCACTGCCCCCACCCGAGGGCTGGGGCCTCTGAAGCTCCACTTCATGCCGGGTGGGCTGGTCCTCAGCTCCCACCTGGGCCCTGGCGGGGCCACACCCCCTCACAGTCCTCCCGGGCCTGATGGTTGACAGTGACTCACAGCTCTCTCCTTCCTGCCGCCAAGGCTTGTTCACCCGGGTGCTCCGGGTGCCTCATGGGTAACAGTTGGCAACAGTGTGTCTGCCCACAGGGCTCTGTGAAGGCTGGGGCCCTGCAAGGAGGGCCGGCCAGGGGCTCCCGTGGCAGGATGGGTTCCCCAGGGCCACCCTGGACATCCATGGGACGCTGGCCCCACCCCTGCTGCCACACCAGACCGTGTCCAGCGGAGCAGTGGACAAGCCCTCTTTAAAAAGTTGCAGTGCCCCGCTGCCCACCCACCACATGCACACGCCCTGTGCATATCCAGGCATGCTCTCAGACACCAAATCACATATACCCCACCCGACGGCTCCTGGGGAAGTGGTGTCTGCTTTGTATTTCTAACCCCACGCACTCAAGCCGAACAGGCGCGGACGCCCAAGACCCAAACTCAGCAACCTAGGAAGCTGCTGCCCAGACAGACATCTGCTCAGTCCACGGGCCACAAACAAGCGAGCCCACACGCACCGGTGGGCACACACCCACAGGCATGGGTATGCCCGCACAGAAGCGGAGACGCTCCCACATCAGCCCCAGGCACACTGACCCACATGCAGAGTCCAAGGCCGTGACTCCCAGCCCCACCCTAAGCACATACCTTCCCTGGGGTGTGTCCAACCTCTAGGGCAGCCTGGGTTCCTTTCCCAGAGCACTGAGTTCCCTCGGTTCCTGGACCTCACCTCCTCCCCGCTCCCCCAGGCCCTCCACACGGGGCTCACGCCTTCGGGGGTGGACCCCCAGCCCTGGGGGATGAGCTGCTGGGGGTGGGGGGGCTGAGTCTGAGACCCTGGAGAAGCTCTGG